CAGCGCTCCGGGTGGGGTCGCGGGTGGGGGCGGCCGACACGGATGCCTTTAGGATGCGGGGAGCCGAACTGGGGCGGGCCGTTTTAGGGACGGGACCCCGAGGCCGGTGCCCAGTGCTTGCCTTGGAGCATCTCCGGGGTGTCCCGCGTCGCACCAGCCCGGCCCGGGGCGCACGGACTCTCCCGCAGGATCCGGAGTCTGGGGCTTCCTGCACCCCGGCGTCCCGTCCGGGTGAGGAACACTGTCCCTCTCCCAATGCGCAGATACAACTCCTTGAGTTGTTCGCGCCTGGAGAACCTCCCAGCCCCCTGGGTTATTCCCTGCGCTGCCGTTTTGGACACAAAGCCTCTGTCCACAGTAGCGATGCCCCATCTTCTGGACCTTCTTTGCGGAATTACACCCCGGATCTTAACGCACGCGCGCGTGCGCGAACACACACACACACACACACACACACACACACACACACGCACGCACGGGCTCGCCTATCCCCTGTGCTTCCATTGCTCCTCCGTGAGCTGAGCAGGTTCTGTCCGGCTGAGGCCCCCTAAAAGCCCTTTGGTTTTTCCAGATGAGAGGGAATTCCTCCTCCCCACCCCAGACCCTGTTCCTGCCCCGGGCTCGGAGGGACCGGGACCGGGACCTGGAACTGCCGCGTCCAAATTTTTGACTTTGCACCCTATGCCCACTTGGGATCTTGGCGCGGCAGTTTGGGAAGGAGATGCAGAGGGCAGGGGAGTTGGGGTAGGAGGTGCAGAGACTGGGCGAGGGTGGCGCTCCAGGAAGTGTTTGTAAGGATGGGGAAGAAATAATGGTCCCCAAATGTAAGATGGAGGCGGCTGTGGGCTCAGGTTACTGTATGGTCGCCGACTTGAGCCTGGAATTGGCGCTGCTGCCGCCCCTGCGGACAGAGGTGGGGCAGCGCCGAGACGCTTCCTGGCCCTGAAACCTCAGGTGGGGTGCGACAACGCTGGGCCGAAGTCCTCCCGGCTGTCCACCCAAGGGAAGTTCTCGAAGGAGTTAGAGACAGCAAGATCCCCTTTCCTGATCTCGAATAGACGGTCCAAGCAATAAAGCACGCCCCTCCCACCACCTCCACCCCACCTCCCGGAAGGGAAGAAGCCACCTGGGCCCCAGCCCTGTGACACTCTAGAAGAGGGATGGCCTTGGGTGACAGCCAGATGTGAGTTCTCACCATGTGGCTCTGGTCAGTTGCACATCCAAAAAATGGGTCTAATGCCAGCTCAGTTTGCACGTCTAAAAAATAGGTATAATGCCAGTTCCCTTGGCATTGGTAAAGCACCTAACAGTCTCCACACACAGCAAGGGCCCCCAAATTTGGATGAGAGGTTGGATCTGGGGTTCCCTGAGTTTAGAGCTTGTCTCTTTTTAAAGAACCTCAGCGTTCTCACCTGTAAAATGAGGTGAATCAGAAAGCCTCCATCACAGGTATTTGTGAAGTGCAAGTAAGCTCTAAATCTATGTAAAAACAGGGTTCACTGTAGTTAAAAACAAGTAACGGACAAGTTATTATTGGGAGGAGTGGGAGATGGTTAAAAAGGAATTCACTCCATTGTAGGAGTGAGAAAGCCCCAAGGAGAGAGTGGAAAGGCACCGGAGCCCAACTAACTGCTGTGTTGGGGTTTGATTACAAGACTTTTCTAGTCCTAGGTTTGCTTCGTGGGCCAGTCACCTTTCACCTTCCTTATTGTGTGACAAAGGGCAAGAATCATGGTGATCTGGATTTTATGGGGAAGAGTTCCACTCAGCTTTCAGGCTGGGGCTGCAGGAGACATTTCCGAAGAAATTAGTTCAAGTGGGTGGAGAAAATGCAAGGTCATTCTCTTGCCTTGATTATGTATGTCAGACCATTCAGAAACATTATGTATATCAAGCCTTTTTCAAGACCACCTATATTTTAAATGTTTTCCCACCTGTATGAATAAAATGCTGGGGAGTATTCATTTACTGACATTTAAGTGAACTAGATAAGGAAGAAAGGCCATGGGGAAAGTAATTTCTTGGGTAGACTGGTGCCTTCTCAGTTTCTGGAGGCCATAGTGGACAAGGTGCCTCAAATCTGTCCCGGGCCAGTTTCGTCATGCTGCTGTTTGCCTCTAGTTAAAGGAACTTAGGCACAAAATAAATGTCCTACCTCTGTTATTTGCCCTTTTCCAGGAAAATCCGTTAAACATTAGAAGAAATTTAAAGTTCGTGGAATCTATATTCTGAAAGATTTCTTAATAAGATTATTTACATAGCATTTCTTCATTTGTAATGTTTTCACATCTTTCTTTCAATGAATGTTTATTGAGGGCTTAGTTTGCACCAGGTCAGGGCTGCCTGGAATACAAATAGGGTCTCTGCCCTCACGCTCCTGGGGCCATTCTGCCTGTCTAAGAGGCACTGGTGCTTCGTGGTTAGAAGTGCACAGGCTCTGGGGTCAGGCTACTAGGGTTTGCACCCCAGCCCTCCACATCTAACTTTGTGCTTCGGGGGAAGTTTTTAAATCTCTCTATGACACGATTTGCACATCTGTAAAATGGGGCTGATAATGTCAGTACCTTCCTAGCAGGCTTGTTTTAGAACAGTGCCTAATATGGGGGTGATGATGTTAATGACTCTGGCAGAGTCTCCAGATCTATTTGAAACGTAATCCAGGTCCTGTCCCCACCACTCCCCACCCGACGTAGACTTTTACAATAAAACCTAAACCCTCACCCTGGCTGCAAGCCCACACATGCTCTGTCTCCGCCACCTTTCTGACCTCATGGACCGTTCCTCCCCCTTGCTTACTATGTTCCCGCCACACTGGCCCTCTGATCTTCAGACATGTGAAGCTCAGGGCCTTTGCACCTGCCGTTCCCTCTGCCCAGGTCACTCCTCCCCCACACCTTTGTTTGGCTGGCTCCATTATGCCACTCGGGCCCGGGAGAAACCTACTGACCACATACTCTCTCACCTCACTTATCACAGTATTCATTAGTACTCGATAGTCTCCTGTTCATTTTTGCTTACCCCACTAGACTGTAGGCTTCATGAGAGCAGCGACGTTGTCTGTCTCATTCATCACTGTGTTCCACCCAGCACTTGCAACAGCGTCGGACACATGATAGGTGCTCAATCTGTGTTCGTAAGAATGAATAAAATAATGAATGAATGAATGAGAGTCGAGGGTAGGAGACAGGTGTTACATTTCAAGAACGACAGCTTTGAAGAACAGTAACAGCTACCACTTACGTGCAGTTTACCCTGTCAGGCAATGCTCTAAGCACTTAGCATATGTGAACTCCTTTAATCTTAGTAGTATCACAAGGTACTCTCTATAATTATCTTCATTTTACAGTCGAGGATGCTGAAGCACAGTGAGATATACTGACTTTCCCCCAACTACGAAGTGGTAGAGCAACTAAGACCATAGCCCTATATTCTGTATTGAACACATAGATCACAGGAGTGACAACTGGGGACCCAGTTCAAAATATGGGTTCCAGGGCAGCTTCTTATTGGGCCTCACAAAATTCTGAGAGGTAGGTATTATCATCCCCATTTTCTAAGCGAGGAAACTGAGGCACAGTGAGTTTGAGGGACTCATCCGGGTGTGTAGTGCTAAGACGCAGCAGAACCGGGACTTGAGCCCGAGCCCGGGGGTGTGTCCTTTCCACCATGCAGAATGTCCCACAGGCGGGGTCAGGCCAGTAGCTCCAGAGGCCTGGGAGCAAGGACTTCCTTTGCTTTAACTTCCGCTTTGGCAGCTCCTAGGTCCGTTGTGCACTCTGTCCCCTTCTCGCTTCACAGGCCATCCAGGCCACGCTGTCCCTTCCCAAACTGCTGCCCTGATTTGGGCCTCTCTCTGCGGACACCCCGTGAGGTCAGGTCCTGGGATAAAATGAAGCTGCCAGTGCCTTGTCTGTGCTGGGAGTTCAGGGACAGGGCTAACCCTGCCTGGCCACAGCTGTGACTGGGAGGGGACTGTGGGCTCACAGGTGACACGCTCCCCTCTTCTGCCTACTCAGAAGATCCTGAGGGCTCTGTCAGGCTTGAGGAGTGGGGCGTTGGCAGCCAGACAGAAGGGCACGCGTGTAGGTGGCACGCACTCCTGGGCTTGGTGGCACCACTGCTCCTCCCATCCTGGCCCTGGACAAGGAGCCCTTCCCTGCCCCTCCCTGGTGCCTGGGCGCTAATGACTGGACGCGGGAGGCCCCCCCATTGTCCTACCCTTTCTGCCAAACCGTCAAAACATGTTTGGATCTAAAATTTTGTATCGTTTAATCCCTCCTCAGTGCAAAAACAAAGATAGTATTATTTCCAGGAAAGCTATGTGTTTTAATTTTATATGTGTGTACACGCCCATATATATTTTCCCCCCATTTTCATTCTAAACTTGTCTCTATTCTTAACTATGTGACCAGATAACAAAAAGAAGAAAATATAACTTGTTTAAATGAGATTGCGTTGTGTTTCAATGGCGGTATAGTGGAGAGGAAGCACTTTCTTGTCTAATTTAAACTCCACCCTCAGTTTCCTCATCTGTCAAATGGGGATAATCATATCTATATTGTATATTCTTGTGAGGATTAAGTGGGGGATGATGGTAGACTGTAAAGCTTAACACAGTGGCCAAGCATTCTTCACGTAGACAGACTTATCAGGGGAAAAGATAAGCCCTTGTCTGTTCATGGAGTGGTAATCCCAAGGAGGGTAAAGTCATGCTAATGTGAGTTCAGATAGGAGTCAGCCCTTTGGGCCCTGCCGAGAGCCAGTCTGCGGGTTATCTCCTGCAGTCTTTATAACCACCCTGGGAGTATTATTATTTTCTATGACTTACAAATGAAGGAACTGAGGCTCAAGGTGAAGATGTGCACATCTCTGCTGAGGTCCTGGCTTTGCACCTTGCTCCCCGTGTGACCACAGACAAGTTGCTTAACCTCTCTGAGCCGCAGTCACCTCTTTGGTGAAACGGATCCGTGGCTGACATAAAGAGCAGGTCGTAGGTCTAGCCAGTTTTGTTCTTCCCACCCACTGCAGACCCGTGTTAGGTGTCATGAGATGGCTTGTAGCTTGTACCTTCTGCTGTCGCTTCTGTGGGCAGCAGTCCGTTTGGATTAAGCTACACCAAGTCAAAATGGACTCCCTGGAACTGATGATGGCAAAAACCCCAAGTCAGTACCGCAGTGGGCATGAGGCCCATTGGCAGTGGCCCTTTGTGCTCTAAAACACTGTGCTGAAAACGGTATTTGTAGGATGGAATTACTTTAATGACCTAATACCATTCTGGAGGAAGCTGGATATTGCCATCTACACTATAGAAAACAGAAAGGTGGTCATTTTTCTCTTTGCAGATGACGCGGTATGTTGTTGACAAGTTTTGATAATAAACTCCAGCCTAACTTAATAACAGAAAGAAGGGCCACAGATGGGCTGTTCTAAAATCAAAGTTCTCACCGGGAATTTTCAGCTCCTAATAGGAAGGAAGTTATAGGAACGAGTAGGTTGCTCAGGGAGGTGCAGCGAAGTCCACCGCACTGCTACCCGTGCAGTTCTGAATTCGGAGTTGAGTTTAGTCAGTACTGACATTCAGACCTTTAAATGTAATGCTCATCCCCACTCCCAACCCCCAAAGTTGTAGTTAGTCCAAGTTCTGCTCTGGTTCTGGTTCTCAAAGTGTGGTCCCAGAACCAGCAGCCTGGGCATCACCTGGGAACTTGTTGGAAATGCAGATCCTCGAAGCCCCGCTCCCATCAGACAGCCCTGGGCAGGGCCCAGGAACTGTGTTTTAATAACCCTCCAGGTGACTGTGGCACACTAAAGCTTCAGACTCACTGCTTTCTCTCCTTCGCCAAGCCCTTGCTTGGCATTTCTCCCATTACAGCAGGCGAGATCTGTCATCTGCCTGAGCTCTAATTATCGTACTGGAAAGCCAATACATTCTGTACCTGCATTTATGTTTGCCAGGAAGTTACTGTACATTGTTCAAAGCCACAGCTTCTCTGACCCCGATTCTAGCTTTTTTCATGGCCCAAGTGGGTGTTTGGTTACACATGCTTAAAATATTTTCCAAGTTCAAGCTCTGGTGGCCATGCCCTGTGGCGCAGGATTCCGGATCTTCGGTCACCACTTGTCTTTGTACAGACCAAACAGACCCCAGACTCCATCTTCAGGAGCATCATCAGCCCACCCACCTGATGTCCTTCCTGCGCTTCCCCTGGTGTTGGGATGGGCCCCTCTATTTTTCCTAAGAGGTAACGAGCCCACCCCCAGCCCCTTGCCTGCTAGTTCTGAAGAGCTGGACCGTTTTATCTGCGAGCACTGCCTCGGGCACTGATTGCGCTTCTGTCTTTGCCTAGGCCTCTGGAAAGCAGCAGAGGCAACTCTGTCCCATCCTCACAAGTGGCCAGGCCCATTTACCTTGCACTGTTTGTCCTAATCTCACTTGGTTTTTATCTTATTTTCCTTTCATTGTTTTCCCTCTGTCCTCATTTTCCCAACTGCAGAGTTATTTTTTAGTTCATCGTGTCTTGTATTCTGTGGATCTTTGCTGACTGCTTTGATTAATTTTGGAAGGAAACAGTTTCAAAAAATAAAACTGAATACTTTTGTTATGAGATACAATGGATATGAAACAATTAGCATGTAATAACTAATGCTTGGGTCTGTCTGATTTCAAACCTGGTGCTCCCTCACATTATCCTGTGGGCAGAGACTCTGTTAAAACTCTTTTAAACCCACAAAACCAACATAACTGGGGATCCAGGGTAAGTTAGACGGCTACATAGACAGCAGAATGGACAGCAGACCCTTTGTCAGGTGTCGAGTCTTCCTTCTCCAGAATATATTCATAAATCCACAACTCCAAAAGTGAGGTAATGGGAATTGTAGCCTGAACAATCTCCTCTTGAGGTTAGAGATGCCCTAGAAACAGCCAAAGGAAACTGTCTGCTTACCACACAGTGGTGAGTGCTCTGCAATTCTGTTACTGTTTGAGTGATACACTTTCCTTAGCTTACTTTGTAATTTAAAGCCCAAATGCACTTAAAAAAGAAACAACAACAACAAAAAACAGGCATATAAGGTTTTCAGAGACACCTCCTTCTGAATTAACTATAACACAAGTTGCCTTGGATAGTGTTCTCAGCGAAGTTACATTAGGTGTCTGATCTGCTCAGCGTGTGACCTTAGCCATGTGGCAGGTGGAGAGCCCAACTTCAACCACCCCTATTCTGCAGAAGCAAAAGGGAGTAGAGGGTACTTATGTCCACCATTTATTGAACATCCACTGCATGCCAGCCAGGCACTGTGCCAGGAACTTATACTTTTTACTCTGGGGAAGAGAGGCTTAAAGTTTTCTATTGTGTGGTGTAGATGTTAACCCCCGCTTTAATTTGGAGAATTGAAAGCACTGAAACTTGTTAAAATTTGGGTATGAAAATGGGTACTGAGCAGAACTTATATTAAAGTGGGTCTTCACTGTTCTTGCTGAATCCCCTGATTAAGAATCAGATTTGATATTGGACATAAAAGCACTTTGTACTATTCTGCTTTCGTACAGTGTAAGATACTGTTATATAAATGGCATTTTGGTGGCTCGACAACTTTAAGGGTCTCTAATTAATAGGGAATTGTGTTTGAGCTATTCTCTAAAGTTAGAAAATCTAGAAGTTATCTTTGTTAGGTCAAGGTGAAGCTACTCTAGAATTCTCCTGGAATTAGAGCAGCCTGTGTCAGAAATGGACCTTTGTATCTATGAAATACAGGTAATTGGCTGTAAAGATGGCACATGAGCACCTAATTAGTCTCTCTTAGATCTAAGCAGTATTTTAAGTCTACGATCTGGTTCTTGGAAATGCTGCAATGAGAAGGAAGAAAGTGAAAAATGTTTATTGAATTGATGACCTTATAACTTTCAGGGGTGATGCCCTAATCATTTGTAGTAATGGGAGGGAGCAGGTTTGTGCTCGACATGGACCATTTGTCCAAATCAATTTTATATGCTGCTGCCTTGTGCCTGTTCTGTTCTCACTCTCATCTACCGACGTCTTCCTCTCGTGCCTCTATCTATCCATTTTTTTTTTTTTTTAACCAGTGTTGAACTATCATTAATTAGTCCCCTCTAAACAGTGATTTTTGGTACCCGACATCCTGGCAGCCCAATGCCTGACCCTTCTGCATCTAGATCTTTCAAGCCCATTTCTTGGGCTTATTCCAAATCCTCGAACATTTATGGCAAGACTTGTCTAGTTTTAAAGATGCACTAAAATGGGTATCCTTAAATAGAGGGAAAAAACCCTCATCTAGACTTAAGGAAAAATAAAAACCTAAAGCCAGTCTCCTTGGTGCGTCTTAAGATTGTGGAGCAATGCTTAGATACGAAGCCCTCTTAAAGCATATGAGGGAAGGTGAACTTTCAGAAGCCTTTTTCCCTCGCTGTCTTATAGACAACTTTTCTGTGTGTTCTCCTGAATTCATTTCATTCATCACCCCCGCTCACAGGCGAATCTGGATAAAGAAGGTCTCGGTCCAAGTTAGTGGTGACAAACTATGCTTAATTAATCCTTCAGCCATAGCTGAAGGCAAAGTTAATAATCATGCAGACTCTAGGCTTCTCTTCTGTTTTAAAACCATCCTTAGCCTGCGCTGGAAGGGGGGCAGTGGAAATTGTCGGGGGGGAGGGATGTCGACCCTGCTGTCCTTTTTATATAGTGTATGAGGATATCTGATATCAAATCGAGCAGGTGAAATTATAGACCAAGAGCATGGGATTTTCTATAGGGTACACATTTTCTTATCCCCTTCAATGCAAACAAATCAAGAATGAATTTATGAATTTTACTCTGGAATGGAGGCCTTCTTCAAATTCATGTAATTAAAAAAAAAAAAATCTGTTTGGCTTTCTGTATTTCACAGTGAGTGTAATGACTGTGTCTTTGTTTTCTCCTTTCCCCTTGCCCGTGGGCACATAGCACGTGTGGAGTGAGAGCGAGGACTGCCTGCCTTTCTTGCAGCTAGCACAGGATTACATCTCTTCCTGCGGCAAGAAGACGCTCCAGGAAGTCTTGGAAAAAGTCTTCAAGTCTTTCAGACCTGTAGGTGCCTGCTTGGCTTCTCAAGCCACCTTGTTTTCTGCCTTGATTGTGCTTTGAATAACATGGATTGTGGGGAAAGTGGGCAAAACCTGGGATGACGAATTGTTTTTCTCTTGTCTGCTTTGTGGCTTAAAGATAGGAGCAAGTGGAGGGAGGCGGAGGGTGGGAGGG